GAATGAGCGAGCGGCTGCGTGGTGCTTAGTTGCCGACTGAAATTAAACCACGACACCCCAGCACATTTAACAGGTTGTTTTCCCACTGTGCATGGCCAAAGTGCCAACTTCTTTTAAGTGTCTCACCAGCCAGCACCCATACTCAGCCCCAGCTACGGGCTACACACAGACGCTTCAGCTCCAGCCTTTTTTTGATTACCCACGTTAAGACAAAAAAAAGGTTTGGGGGGACGATTTCTTTGGGTGATGTGGACGGCAAAGGAGGGAGGCAGGAGTGATACCAGTGTGAATTCAGTGACTCAACGGCAGCTGAAGATCTGGCCTCTTGTGTCCGCATGGGTGTTACGTTTATTTACCATTTTGCTCGTGGTAGTTGAGCCAGGCACAACTGTCAGGTGTGCTTGGGGCAGATGCAGAGGCTCGGCAGAGCCCGGAGCAAAACACAGTCAGACTAACAACTGCATTTTTCCAACGTCCGTGAAAACAGCGGGTTGGAGCTGTAGCCACGCGGTAGTCGTGCCGAGAGGAGGATTGTGCTGGCTGTGGTGAAAGAGGAAGGACTCAAGTTTCTCGGCGGTGCAAGAGCAGGAAGGTCACTGAAGGCAAAGGAAAAAGGGGCCGAAGTGCAATAAAAGAGCTGGAGAGGGAAGCTGGAACAAGGGAACCGGCTTTTCCTGTGATGCCAAGTTGCACGTTAAGGCCATGATTGACGAGGAAGCAAGGTCACCTCCTGCAGACCAGTCTCGCACTTGCCCGACGGCGGCTGGATGCTGCACCGTGGTTTGTCCGTAGTGCCAAAGCTCTTCCCCAGCTACTCAGCGTGCTGGGAAGGCACCATCCCCGGCTCTGCTGTGACTTCCTTCCTCCTCACGGCCGTGCAAGTCGGAAAGCATCCTGCTCCTGCAAAGCCACCGTCGCATTGTCGCTTCCCAGTTCAAGTCCGAGCTCGGTCACAGCCAGTGCACGTGGCCCGTCTCCGCGGGCGGTGCCGCGGCGGTTCCTCCCGCGCCCGCGGCACTGCCAGGCTGGGGGGGGAGCTCAAGCCCGTGTTTCTCATTCTCCTCAGTGAGCAGTGGCTGGACCTCGGTGGAGTACTCCATCATGCTGGGGGAGAAAGGAGAGGGGCGTTGTGGAAGGGAACTGTCCAAATCGGGAAGCAATGGGGAGGTGTGGAAAAATATTCAGAGTGGGAACAGGGCCTTTTGCCAAAAATAAATGGAGAAGGAATGACACGCTGTTTGTGGAAAATCCCTGTTCGTGGGAAATCCCTCCGTCAACGGGAAGCCAGAGCCTGAAAGCTGAACTGTAGCAGCATGGTGCTTCCTGAGCTCCGCTCACCTCTGCTGTCGCCTGGATTTTGGGGTGGCAGCTGGGATGGGGTGGCAGCTGGGACAAGGTGGCTGTGAAGAGGGGCAGGCTGAGCCCTCCTCCAAAGCGGGGCTCAGTCCATGAAGGACAGCAGCACCAGGGCGGCCCAGCCTATGGCTGTCAGCTACATTGGTTCTGTTTCCAGCTGAAATACTTAATATTTTTTTTTAAACAGTTTAAATGGAAAATTTGGGCAAAATTGCTCCTTGTTTTTACTTGGAGCTTTTCTTTTTCTGAAAGAAAAGCCAAAGCCAAGCAGACCCTTCCACTGGTGAGCTCTAGTATTGAATTGCCTCAGGTGGGACTCATTTCACTGGCCTTGAGTGCCTAAAAGCCAGGCACCTGGGCTAGTGAGTGAGGCCACAGGCGTGGAGTGAGATGGATCCTCATTTATGGGTGATGCAGCTCATCTTAAAAAGAACATTTTCTGCCGTAGGTCCCAGGTAGTAGAGGCTGGGCTGAAAGCTGGGGGAGAAGCTACCCTGAAAAGGGTGATGGAGGAGCTGCCCTGAGGACAGGAGCTCACAGCCCCACCTTCTCCATGCCTGCGGTGGTGAGCGTCAGCCTGATCGTGGGGTTCTGGAGCGGATGGATCCTGCTGCCAGGCAGGCCTCCTGCTGGAGGCTGTGCCATCTCTGAGCACAGCAGCCCCTGGCACCTTCTGGGGCATCACCCACCTCAGTTCTTCATGAAGGTTGCTGTGTTTTCTGTCCAGAAGCTGATTCTTAACGAACTGAGGGACATCAGGGACGTACCAGGCTGCAATCAGTTTGACACACAGAGCCACGTGCTGCAGAAGGCAAAGGGAGCCGCTGCGGGCATTGAGGAGCTCCCCGGGCCAGTTAATGGGCCTGTGCGAGTGGCACAGACACAGCCTGTTTCCCCCTGCTGCTGTCCCTCCGATTGCCCCAGCCTCCTCCTGCCTCCCCAGGTCCTTACCTCAAAGAGGATGAGGAAGGCAAGCCGGGCTGCGAAGATGTGCCAGAACTGGACTGTGTAGCTGTAGTCGTCGGCATTCCGGTAATCCCGGTACCTGCAGCACAGCCCTGTCGGTGCCAGCCCAGGTTCCCCCTGCACCAGGCGTTGTGCCCTGCCTCAGATCCCTCCGTCGGGGTCTGAGAGGAGCCCCGGCAGCTTCCTCTACATGGCTGCCTCCAAGCCCTGCTCTACCACCTGCCCGTTCCCTGGCTGCAGGCTGGATGTCACAGTGACGGGCTCGGGACGGGGGAATGCTACTGAGCAATGGCCACGGGCTGCTGTTACCTGCACTCCTTGATCTCGTCCCTGACGAAGTCCGGCTGCATTTCAGGCACGTTTGTGTACGGCTCGAAGTCCTGAACGCGGAAGATGGAGAGGCTGTGGTTGATGTAGCCGGTCGAGCAGCTGCAGGGGGGGAAAAGATCATGTCTGCACACATTGGCCCGGCGGTGAAGTGGGGTGCTCCTGGTTCATGGCTATGCTGGGGGGTTGTGGCATGCCCTAACCGAAAGCTGCAGCTCTTGTGTCTTCTAGGGGACTCAAAGGCCTCTGATTGCTACAAAGCCTGTCTGCCTGCAGCTTTTGTTTCTACGGTTTCCCTGGTGTGTGGATTCTCAGATGACTGGTAGTATGGTTGAGCACAGACTAGCCTCCCATTTTGGGGAAGCTAGCACCCATCTGGGGCTCTCCCTCCCCTCCCTAGCTACCCATTTTCACAAAGCCTGGGGGAAATGAATGTCTCTGAGACTTCTGTCCAGTTTGACTGAACTTGGCCAGTGAGCCAAGGCTTGGAGGAAAAGGGGGAGGGCAGGAGAGAGAGCATGGGCAGGCACCCAGGCAGTCCTGCAGCTCTCCAACATTACATGGGGCTCTTTCCATTCAGGGGTACCAGTGTACCCACCACGGGGATGATGTGAGTGGAAGGCTGGCTGGGATGCTGAAGATGGTGCCATCAGGAAAACCCTCCCCTACTCCCCTTTCCCTCCACCCTGCTCTGGGGGACTGCTCAGCTGCCTCGCGCTTCTGCACTGGCGGCACTCAGGCAGGCAGGGCTGTGAGCAGCCAACTGGCAGCACTCACTCCACGCCAGTGTTGTTTTCCGTCATGCAGGGGCTGTACGTGTACTTGTAGACCTGCATGGGAATGAAGTCAGACGTGATGGCGATCACCAGTCCATTCCCAATGACAGCCAGGATGCCGATGGCCTCCAGGACATGCAGCCAGATTCCTGCGGGAGAGGAGTGGTCAGTGAGGCCCCTCTGACAACTCACTGCTGCTGTTCAAGGGTTGCAGACCAAGCCCCAGCTCAGGACAGGTTTGGCATGGCCAGAAGAGGTCAAGGAAGGAGGCCTCCAAGCTGCCCCTCAGCCTCTGCAGGGTCTGAAATTGCTTTTCCTTCCCCAACCCACAGCTCTCCCTGTGCTCTCCTACCTCCGCGGTGAAGTGATACCAGTCCCTGGCAAAGGGATGCTCAAGGGCTTCACACTGGGGAAAGGGCTTAACGCTGGCACCGTTCGCACAAGCAGCAGTGCTGGAAGGAGGGTGCTCCTCGGGCCCCATCTCACCGATGTCATTGGCCTTCCTGGGCACCATGCGCCGGCAGAGCCGCATCATCTTGATGGCATCCAGGCGGATCTCGAAGAGGTTGTTGCAGAACGCCAGCAGCGGGGCGAGGGGAAAGGCAGCGACGAAAATGGTAGTGAAGCTGTACTGGATTACTGCGGAGGGGGAAAATGCCGGGTGCTGGTGTGAAGCCACCACAGAGGGGACATCCCACAGGGTCCTGACTGCTGTCTGGGTTTGTCCTGCTTTGTGGCTTGTGTCAGTGGGCTTTGCAGGGATGAAAGGGGGAGACGGACCTGTCTTGGGGACCCCACACCTCCACAGGGGACACCCACCTCTCACAAGGCTGTTGGAGAGGGGGATCTGTGGGGACCCCACAGGGCACTGGTGGAGACAGCCAGGCAGAGGGACCGCCCTGGGGTTACAGCCATCACCTTGACACTCCTGGGAGGAGAGGAAGGTCCTAGGCAGGGGCCCAAGGCCAGCACAGTTGCCTGCTCTCCCTTGTTTTGGGAATGATCTCCTTGGTGTGCCAGAGCTCTTGGAGCAGAGCTGGGCATGGAGCTGGGTCTCGGAGCTCTCCCTTGCCTACATATTGGCTCCCCAGCATCACGCTCTCTCCAGCCAAGGAGGGCATGTGGCTCTGCACCCAGCATCCCTCCTCACTTGACCCCCTGCCCTACATACCCATCTCCAAGAACTCATCAAACAAGCTGAAGATGTTGACCTCGTTGAGTTGATAGTTGCTCAGCCACTGCCTTTTGCAGGGGTCCTCGGCCTCTTCCTCCTCTCCTAAAATCAAGCGTCTCTTCTTGGGGCGCTGCTGCTTCTTGCGTAGCTTGTGGGCTATCCAGCTGCAAGGGGAGGAAACAATTTGTACGGCTGCCTGCAGAGGACAGCAGGGCTGAACTGCTGCCAGTGACAGCCCTGGAGACCTGAGGAAGGGAAAGGAGGAAATCTTGGCCCAAAGACCAGGGTTACTCTCTATAAGAGCTGGGAAGCTGTCCTGAACGTGCAGGAGCACCAGCGAGCACTCCGAGGGCTGGAGGAAAGCTTACGGGACAAGATACTCCATCACATTGCTGATGGTCTGCTTGAGCAGCATAATGATGGCCATCTGGATGAAGAGGTCGGTGATGCAGCCGCTGGGGTGGCACTGCGAAGGGATGAGAGGAGACGACTTGTGCCCTGCAAGCAGGGCGGCCTGGCCTGAGGGGCTGTTTGGCCAAGGCAGCTACTATAGGAGGAAGCTGAGATTCCCAGAGCCTTGCTGGGCAGTAGGGAAAGGAAGAGTAGGAGTTGTGGTGTGGGGTCAGAGAGCTTCATGGCAAGTCCCTCACCTCCTCCAGCCTCCACTTGCCAGCAATGCGCACGTAGTTCCCCGGGTGGCCGTTGATCCTGAGCAAGGAAGCAAGAACAACAATATCTGTTGAGCCCCACTGCTGACCCCCGTTGGATGAACATCCAGGTGCAGGATGGAAGGCATCATCCTCCGGGCACTGGTGGAGAGGCAAGGGGCTTCCCCCACCCACCATCCCCACGGGGAAAAGTCATGGCCCTCCCGAGGTCCCAAATGGGGTCCCTGTGCCTGGCAGGGAGGGTAGAGGGACTGGGCTCTCCCTAGACCCTGGGGAGAGTTGGGGATGTATGCCCCAAACCCAGGCTCCCCTCTGCTCCCCTCCTGGGGCCCGCAGCCACCACTCACCTTCCCAGGAAAAAGGCGATGTAGATGAGCGAAGAGAAGTTTGTGAAGAACTGGAAGGTGAAGATCTTCACGGTGAAGTTGTTCTCACGCTGGGAGAAGGTCCGTGGTTTCTCTGGGGAAGGGAACAAGGCCCAGGGGCTTGGTCACAGAGCGGTAGGACCTTGCCCTGCTCCCCCTCGGATGCCACAGCAGCTCTTTGAAGGTTGGAAGGGTGTCTCTGCCCCTCGTGGAGCCTTCCCTGCCCTTCACCTGAGCCCTTTGGTGGAGCTGAGCCCAGGTAAGCAGGGAGGTCCCTCAGAGCCATGAGCTGGGGGAGAAGGGGCCCTTCAGCTGGGAGGAAAACCATGTTGTGAGCTCTCCTGCAGCTGTGGTGGCTTCCTGCTCGTGCCAGGTCTCAGCCCTGCAGGGTGACTGCCCCTCCAAAGTGTAATGTGGCTGTGGGACAGCCAGCTGGCAGCATGTGGGCCACAGCTGAGCTTGTGTGTTGGAGGGCTGCTGTCCTCCCACAGGGACCTGCATGGCAAGAGCTGCCCGGTAGATGCTTTGTGATGGTGGAGGAAGGGAAGGGGCCAGGAGCCTGGCTGCATTTGGGGACCAAGGGGGTGCTGCGCTGCAGTCCCTGAGTACTGCTGGGCAGCTCGGTGCTGCAGTGTGCAGGCGGGAGACAGCCCCTAGTTTCCCTTACCTAGGTCACAGAGGTAGAGGGCCACACGCCTGTTGACCTGCAGGAGAGAGGTATAAAATGAGAGGGGAGGGTTGATGGTGGAAAAGCAAGGAGAAAACCTGCTGCCTGCCCCGTGTCTCACTCCGCACCTTGGTCATGACGACAATGGTGATGTAGTGCAGCACGGCCCCCGTCATCACCGCCATCGTGTTGGCCTGCTCGCGGAGGAACGCGAAGTTGCTCTGGGTGAAGAGAGCCATTGCTATCACCCGGTAAATGACGAGTGCGTGGGCGATGCCGATCAGCACGGCAATCTGTGGAGGAGGGCAATGGGGTGGTGAGGCGCTGTGCACGGAGGGCACATGCTCCATCCCGCCTGAGGACCACCAGCCCTTCAAACCCTGGCTCCCTTCACCAGAGCTCATCTGGATGTGGCCTCAAATGGAAGCTAGTGCTCTTCAGTTAAGGATGAGAGGTTCATAAGGTGGATGTCTCCACCTGAACTACTCATCTAGACTCTCTCCATTGGCCCAGGGGAAGAAATGAGGGCATTAGGGGTTTGCCTTCTCCTACCCTCTGTGCTACTGCCTTGATCCTCACTGCCTTCCACTGCAAGAGCAGAGCCTTCAGCCCAGATCCCCAAAGGGTAGTTGGCCTCTCCCATCAGCACAGAGAGGTGTGAGCGTAGGGAGGCCCCTGGATACTTGTGATGGGCACGGACCTGCCCTAACAACCTGGTTTCTGCCTTTGCTCCAGCAATAGGACACTCTGAGGTACTGTTCTTGCAGTGAAGTAGGGAGGGAAGGAGAAAAGCCCGTGTGCCCTTAAACCAGATCTTCCTATGTTCACCCCGGCACGTACCATCAACAGAACCAAGAGGAGTATGACGGTGCTGCGGAAGTAGGAGTGCTGGTACTGCTGGGGTTCGTGCTGCAAATTATTGATCAGCTCCATAGCCAGCTCCTCCTTTAAAAAAAAAAAAAAGGGAGGGGGAAAGAAAGGATCCAGCAGAGCTGTGCCCAGGTAGTGGAAAGTCCAGGAGTCATTGTGTTAATGGACATATGGGATGAGCAGCACCAGAGAAGGACAGGGATGAACACCCAACCCACAACAGCGTGGCCAATCCTGACTGAGTTCAAGCCCTTGTGCAGATGGAGAGGTGACTAGCAATGCAGAGAGGTAGCTAGCATCTGCTTAACTCTCTGGAGGGCTCTGTCTCTCCCAGGACTCTCCCAGGACAGTCAGATGTTGGCTTTGCTGTTTCTTTAAGTGTCTCCATTAGATGTTTACATCTACAGAGAATCAAGCTGGGCAAGGGGGGTCCCTGTGTCTTTTCTGTAGGTCCAGCTGACTACTGCCCTGAAAAGGGAAGCACTAAGCAGGAAAGATGACATCCTCACCTCTTCCTCATCCCACCTGTACAGGTCCCAGTTGGTGACCACGGTGGCTCTCTGCCTCTTCCACAGCTCCAGGAACACAGTGGCTGTGGGGGGGAATGAGAGAAAGCTGTGGCACTCGGGGACGGCTCTGGAGACGAGTGGGATGGATAGTCATGTTACCATCCAACCTGATGGCAAATCAGCCCAGACTGCCCTTGGCCCATGAAGAACAGGCAGCCACCTCTGCATCTCAGCGACCGGGAAGGACCCTGGACATGCAGCAATGAGTGCTCGGCCCCACGCAGGGGTGGGGATGGAGGTGTGCGGGTGAGTTTTCACTGGGAGTCAGGCCAGCTCTAGTGTCTGTAGGGGATTTGGCATAAACCAGAGTAAGCACCAGGGCTGTTCTGCTGTGGTGGCCATGTTTACATGGCACCAGCCAGACACATTATTCTGGATTAACGAAAAATACACCCTTCAAATGTATTCAAAAATAGGTATCCTGCACTGCACCCCAGCATGGCTACACCTCTGCAAATCCATTTACAACCACCCCTTCTGTTATTCTGGATTGACCTTCCTGAGCTTGTCCCTGTGTAAACCAGCCCACAGCAACACGCAAGACCATGTCCGTGACCTGCTCAGACCATGATCTCGCAGGTGAAATGCCCAGCCCACATCTTCCATGGTGTTTGTAACTGAAAGGGCTGTAGTAAAGCCAAATGAGATGTGTAGCTAATATGGTGATGGGATCACATCAGCTCAGAGCCCAGTGGTCTGCCGTGCTTATTCCACAGCAGCTAAGAGATCATGCAGCAATCTGGGAAGGTTAATGAGGGATCTGACGGTCCCTCCTTTCTGCAGCTGCAACTACTTACAGGCAGCTGCTAGAAAAGCCCAGCTAGAGAGGTTGGTGGGTGCTTTGCAGGAGGTTGTGGTGGGTGAATGGGTAAAAGGGCTCAGGCAGGACAGGTAAGGAGTGTTTGGAGAGCTGAAGGAAATTGCTGGGGTGATTTTGTCCTTTGCCTTGTCTGGAAGGGGACCTGATGGCCCTGGAAGTGGAGGAGATAAGGACTAAAAAGGCCCTGAATGGTGAAGCTGTGTTGGTGTCCTGTTTTCTTCCACCTACTCTCCCCCTATGTCACAGTGGGCTGCTCCCTCTTCCAAGCTGCCTGTGCTTGGCACCAAGATGTTGACACCTACCCCAGATTGCCATGAACATGGCAAACAAAACTGTCCCCTCGTTGTCAATCATGTGGGTGACCTGGAGAAGATCAAGGAAGAGCGTGATACGGGCAGCGGGGTGCAGGGGCTGTGGCACCTCGGGGTCTGGGGAGAGGCCTCTGTGCTCAGCGGTCCTCCTGCCAC